GGATGGACTAATTTAAAAGTTATTGCAGCTAATAATGTCATCAAATATGCCACTCAACTTAAAAAGAAGTATGAGGTTCTCCTAATGGGCTAAGGCTTGTTAGTGACTATTAAGTCAATAACTTGGCGGTTTATATCAACTCTCAAATTTTTAAGTCAAGAGAGAATTTGGCATCCATAACTCACGACTAATGTAATACCAAAATTGGTAAATTCACTCCTCGCTCGTATCAAGATGAGTCAAATCATCCAAATACTTTTGAAGAAAATTACTTTGGTTGTTGCCCTCTACAAGCTTACTACTTTGATAACTAGAGATCTCTATAAGAGAAGGTGCGTCAAAGTGATATACCTTTTTAGTGTGCAAGACCCTTAAGTAAAATAATCCATTAATAAGTCATGAAAATACTCTTAGATTGACATTATCATTTTCTTTCTATAGACATAGATGTTACCAAATGGCACCGTTCCTACTATTCACTTCTAATGATAAGCTGCAAATTTTAATATTATTGGTAGTGATTAAACAAGCAAGTATTTATCATACTATACCTCAAAATCCTTCACCATCATAACAAATTTTGCATTACGAGAAGACTTTTTCATAATATTAGGAAAAAAAATTTAGAGGGAAATTAAAGGACTCATCTTCAAGATTATGATGCAAAGATTTTATTGGCCAACAATTGTGTTCAAATCTATTTGGTACATATACTTATAACCTATTATCAAGTAAACACGAAAATCGAGGTTAGTGATCAAACTATACTCAAAGGATTAAAAATATGCTTTAGGAAGACAAGGAGGAATGTACTAAAAAGTTGCATAATGTTCACGAGGCGTATTATACTTCCTTATGAATTTCATTATGTGAGAAGTTTTATAATTTATGCTTTGATACAAATTCTTTCATTGCAACTAACATCAAGATTCTAAGCTCTATGGTTCATACCTTTAATACTACTAGCATGAAAATAAACTTTGCAATAACTTGGATTTTCTCCTAAGGATTCATAACATGGCCCTGCTTAGGATCACCTCTCATCACCAAATAGTAGTCTACCATCTCAATTGAAGAGTTAAATTTTGATCTATTTCTGTTGAGACATGATTCTATGCAGTCTTGAAGCAACTTGGAAAATAACTTTAGTGCAACAGACTCCACTCTTTTAGAAGGGCATTTATGTGATGACAATTATGATTAATCTCGGGACGCTCAGGCTTAAGGTTCCTCAAAATTTTTTTTCTTAAATCTAAAATATTAAAAAAAAATCTTTGTAAATATTATTAAAAACTATTGATACACAAACTTAGTAATTTTTAGTTTCTTATGGTATTTAATTATTGTTATGTCCATGAAAATAATAAATTATATTATTTTCAAACTTTTTATGATTAAAATTCTTATTTTATGAGCAAGATCATAATCTTGACTTAAAAAGGGGAGTCGTAATCCAAAAAGAACAAACTCTCCACTTCGATTATTACATCTCCATTAGGGCATAATCAATCTCAAGGAATTTGGTATAACATCTTCCATATAATTTAATATTATTGACTTATACCCTTCTACACGACCTCAAATAAAAAAAAAATGATGAATTTCTCTTGACCTTTTTCGCATGGGTCATCATTAGTAAGCAAAACTTTGATAGATAAAATTAGATAAATAAAAAATCTTTTATAGATTTTTCTTAACATATTCCATACAGATTAATGTCATCGAGTAATGCTCTAACACATAACTCGGATAAGCCAAAAATCTTAGTACCCTTCCCTCAAACTCTTCCACATAGGCTAAATAGTTTATGAATTAATCTTTTATTGATAAAAAAATTTTGATGAATTTTTCTTGGCCTCTTTTGCATTGGCTAACATTGCCAAGAAATACTTTGACAGAAATCTTATATAACTAAAAAAATGTTTTACATATATTGGTCATTCTCTTTCACATAAAATAAGATCGTCAAATACTATTGTGACAAAAATCTAGATTGATAAAAACTTTTAGTGGACTTCTTACAATATCTTTGTTTATAGGTTAAGGCTTGAAGTGACATCTATCTCTAACAATTTAAGAAAGATCTTTGAATCCTAAACTTCTTTTTGAACCATTTTGAAATTTGTTGTGCATTTTCTTTTTTTCTTTAGCCCTTTATACATTTGAATAAAATTTCCTCCATAAATCAAGCAGTTAAAGTAGTTCAATCTAATGCATGATCTTTAGGAGACCTAGAGATAATATATCACTAAGGGCCCGTTTGGGACAGCTTATTTAGGTGTGGCGGCGTTTTCAAGACGCCGCCTTAGTGTTTGGAAGTCGTGTTCGTGCGGATTATCCCTGCCGCAGTGCGTTAGCTTATCGAAATTTCTTAAGGGCCTTCGACGCGGGCGAAGACCTACGTCCCGCTTTTAGCTTGTAACATTGCCTTAGTTACCCCTGTTCTCCCTCGCGCTCTCCCTTCCTGGATTCGTCACCCTAGAGGAGATCAGACCGTATTCCTTTCGATTTTTCTTTCTGATTCTCAAGGTATGCTTTCCCTCACCGTCAATTTGTAAGGAATGCTTCCTCTAGAGCAATTGAATGTCGGTGGGCGTGAATGATTCTTTGTAGATGATCGAACGTCGTTTTATTTTGGTGTGAATGGTTCTTTGTGGAGATCGGACCGCAAGCCTTGTTTTTTTTTTCTTCCTTGAACGAAGATTTTCGTCTTCTTTGTTTTATTTTGAACTCATTTGTGGAGATCGGACCGCAAGCCTTGTTTTTTTTTCTTCCTTGAACGAAGATTTTTGTTTTCTTTGTTTTATTTTGAGCTCAAACAATGCGAATGATTCTTTGCCCTAGAATTCATTTCGTTTTTTGTTGGGCGTAAAGAAAAGTTTGGAGAATGGATTCCTTATATCGGGGCCGAACTTCGTTTTGATTTTTGCTGCTCGTTTCAATTTTTGCTGATTGTTTCAGGACCAAAGAACAATATCTTTACTCTTCTTCTTATTATTTCAATTGGAAAAACAAGTATTTTTTCATGAAGTGAGGAATAATGCTGCTTGATTCATGAAAATGCTTAAGAGCTGCAATTAATTCTTGTTTTTAGGAAACATAGGTATGAGTTTGATTCATGAAAAGCTGCTATTAATTCCTGTTTATGTGCTGCATATATATGCATTCATTGCAATCCCCATTGGTGGCAAATGCCATCTTCCTTGGTATGAATTATGACTTTGATGCAAGCTATGGAAGTTTATTTGGTTATATAATTGAAGATTATCTTCTATGCTAGCTTAATAGCTTGTATTTCTAGTGTTTTAAACCCGTATATACCTTGTCATTGAGAGGATTCCGACAGTGATCGTGTTATGATACCCAGGCTGACAGTGATCGTGTTAAGCCCGACAGTGATCGTGTTAAGACGGTTTCCCAAGAGGACAGTGCCGTTGAAGAGAGACGACATCAGAGTTTTAAACTAAACACAGTGATCGTGTTATGATACCCAGGCTGACAGTGATTGTGTTAAGCCCGACAGTGATCGTGTTAAGACGATTTCCCAAGAGGACAGTGCGTTGAGGAGAGACGACATTTTAAACTAAACGTCACAAAGTGGTGAGCAGTGTATTTTAATTTCTGTAACTGAACTGTAATATTTTGAGACATCTATTTTATCTATAATTTTTCATAAACAGTTCTGTTGTAAACAGCTTAACAAACAGGGGCATAATGATCATTTATCCATCAACAGCTCTCAGTATGTTGAACTGTAATATTTTGAGACATTTGTTTTATCTATAATTTTCCATAAACAGTTCTGTTGTAAACAACTTAACAAACAAGGGCAGAATGATCATTTATCCAACAACAGCTCTCAATAAGTTGTTCTGAATAAACTGTCTCAAACAACAAGTCAGATTATTCTGATAATCTGCAGATTCTTAGATTATAGACTTTGATGCAAGCTATGGAAGTTGATTTGGTTATATAATTGAAAATTGAGGCTTGGTTCATGAAAATACATCTCAAATTATTACGATATTGTTTATTCTCCTATGCTAGCTTAATAACTTGTATTTCTAGTGTTTTAAACCCATATCTACCTTGTCATTGAGAGGATTCCGACAGTGATCGTGTTATGATACCCAGGCTGACAGTGATCGTGTTAAGCCCGACAGTGATCGTGTTAAGACGGTTTCCCAAGAGGACAGTGCCGTTGAAGAGAGACGACATCAGAGTTTTAAACTAAACATTTTAATAATTTTAATTGTTATTGTAATTGTATTTCTTCTTATTTTATTTGTTTTGATACTCACAAAGTGGTGAGCAGTGTATTTTAATTTCTGTAACTGAACTGTAATATTTTGAGACATCTATTTTATCTATAATTTTTCATAAACAGTTCTGTTGTAAACAGCTTAACAAACAGGGGCATAATGATCATTTATCCATCAACAGCTCTCAGTATGTTGTTCTGAATAAACTGTCCCAAACAGCAAGTCAGATTATTCTGATAATCTGCAGATTATTAGATTATCAGAATAATCTGTTTATCAACATATTATAAATAATCAACAGCTACCCCAAACAGACCCTAAATCCTGAAGTCATTTTTAAACATGTTGCTTTGCTTTCTCAGTCATCCTAGTACTGGTTTCTAGAATTAAATAAGTCCTAAAAACAAATTTTATAATTTTTCCATTTTATTCTAGAATTCTTAAGCTTTCTCTTAGAATGGCCATATATTTTTCATAACTAACAATTTTGAAATTAAATTCCCTTTTATTGGTGCATTATTTGGGATGTATATGTTAATCATTACATTTCATTAACCTTTAATCACTATAATTAACTTAAATTAATATCAATTTAATTAGTTCTTTTGATTAGCAAATTTAATCAAACTAATTAGCGGATTATAAGCAGCCTTTAAATTAATTAATAAAATATTTTAAAACCCATTTTTTTATCAAACAAATGGATTAAACTTGAGAAAGAAACATTTAAAATTGTTAGGAGGAAGCTGTGGAGATGAGATAACGTTATCACAAGGCGAGCAAAGCCAACCCTTTCCCTCTAAGCGAAGTTGAAATCACTACAGAGCTCGTCTCCGCGGCCATGGAGCTCTCCCTCCCCGCACTAGGGCATCAGCGGCTCCTCAGCTCTCTATCTAGTTCTAATCAGTTGCATTTCTTCCGTACATCTGCTACTACTCATCTCTCTCTCATTCTGCATCCCCTTCATTTTCTCTAAGTGTCACTCACCTTAGGGTTTTTGTGGCTCAGCAGCGAAGCACCGTCGTTCGGATCGGAAGTCTTCTTCTGTTTTGTATTGTTTCTGCTCCAGAAGTGCTTTCTTCTCTGAGTCCGGGGGAAGGAGAGCATTGGTTGGTCTTATTTTTGCCGCTGGTTAGCCTTTGAATTATCTTTCATTGCCTTTTCTTTTCCCTTGCTCTTTTCAGCCGCTTTATGCAGCTCTTGCTAGTCATTTTAATTTGCTGAGTGTATTGTTTCGATGCTTAGTTAGTAAGACCAAATTTATGGTACAGAACGAAGAAGTGCGATTGTGAAATTTGGTTTCTATCGGTATGGTTAAGCAGGCTTGAGGAAGATTTGTTATTTATTGTTTTTTTTTTTGGTTTACCAAATTGAGATGGATTGTTTTTGGAATTGTGACTGTTGAGAAGGAATGTAATTTAGGGTTTAGGTGGAGTGTTGGCCTGAGGAAGGGTGATCAAGAGAGGGAGAGAAATGAGAGAGAGAGAGAGAGAGAGAGAGAGAGAGAGAGAGAGAGAGAGAGAGAGAGAGAGAGAGAGAGAGAGAGAGAGAGAGAGAGAGAGAGAGAGAGAGAGAGAGAGAGAGAGAGAGAGAGAGAGAGAGAGAGAGAGAGGAGGATGACTTCCCCCGGCCAAGGGAAAAATGGGGTGTTCCCTGGCCCGTAGACTCATTTTATTCCATAAAATTAGAGGTGACAAATGAGGAGCCCTAAAAAAAGTCCCCCTTTTACAGCTTGTAGCCCTCCTATTTATAGAAGATAGGTGGGGTAAAATGTGCAAAAATTACATATTTGGCTATGCTTTGAAGAGAGAAGCAATAGACATTTTAGTCCTTATTTCGACCGTTGGATCGTCTGGAGATCGATGCAGAATTTCATGTCCATATTTCTTTCTCTTGATCCTGGTGACATTCAATGCATAAAAAAATAAGTGACTTATATATGAATTTCTTGAAGATGATGGTTGCTTCATAATGACTATCCAGCTGGCCGAAGGAGAGAGTTAGTTGGCTGACTGAAACGAGGTGGTTGAGGAAGAGAGCCTGACCGATCGACTAAAGTAAGGTGGTTGAGAGAGAGAGCTTGGTCGGTTGACTGAAGTAGGGTGACCGACTACTGGATTGCCTCAAGATCCGTGCAGACCATTTTTGAGTATACATATTGAGTTTCTCAATTTCCTTGCTTCTTATAGTGAAAACTGCAATAAGAACAAGAAAATTTATAAATCAAACAAGTCTTGAATTTATAATTTGTTAATGATACTCCCTGCTAGACGCTTTTCGTGCTTTGTTCTGATAGCTTTGTCATCATTTGCTAAGTCTGTCATTCTGGCGTTTTTCTTGTTGGAAGGAAGTTGTCGGGTTTGGATGGGCGGTCAGAGTAAAAGTTGGCTGTCAGAGGAAGAGTCAGTCGTCGAAAGAAAGGTCAGTCGAGGAAAATTCTAAGCGTTGCTTGCCTCAGAGGGGAGTCTTGTAGTTGCTCGCATCGGAGGAAAGTCTTGTATTTGCTCACCCCGAAGGCGAGTCTTGTAGCTACTTTCCCGAAGGGGAGTTTTAGTGATGCTCGACCTGGAGGGGAGTCTTGTCGGTGCTCGCCCGGAGAGGAGTCTCAGAGTTGCTCGCCCCTGAGGGGAATCTTGGAGATGCTCGCTTCGGAGGGGAGTCTTGGTGATGCTCGCCTTGGAGGGGAGTCTTGGTGATGCTTCTCCTGGAGGGAAGTCTTGTGATGCACCCGATCAGACGCCCTTGGTGTTGTTTTCTATTGTTTTGTTATGTTTTTGATCGATCAAACACTCTTGGTGTCATAATTGTTTGTTTCGTTATGCCTTAAACTAATCAACCACTTTTGACGTCGTTGTCGGTTGTTTCGTTATGCCTTTGACTAATCGTATGCACTTGACTTTGTTGCCGGTTGTTTCTCATGCCTCTGATTGATCAGATGCTATTGGCATTGTTGTCGGTTTTTTTATCTGGATTCGAGTTCCCTTAGTGCTAGAAACAAATGAATTGAGATGTTTGCAGGTAAGTATATTATAAGTGTGTAAAAATTAAGTGATATATGAAAATATATAAGAGTTGAGTCTTATGTGAATCTTTCATGGTTGGAAATGGCTGATTGTAGGTGGTGTCAGGAGCACCCGGTCGGATGACAATTTGTTGAAATAGTGATTCTCTTCAAAAGATGCTACAAAGATATTGATAATCTTAAATGGTGACTATAAAAAAATCATACATAAACATTACGATAAAGTCTTAAATGAAGAATAACATAAAATACCACAATAGATCCTACAAAGTAGTGGTGGTTGGTTATCAACGATAAAAGATGCACTTGTCACTCCATAAGTCAATGCAATTCCTATTTGTAATGTATACCACAATTGTAAGAGAGAAGTGAAGACAACGAGAGGTTTTTGCAATATATTTTCCACACAAAGTGGATGATAATCTGATGGTTGCTAGCCATAAACCTAATAATGGAAAGCAAATGGGACAACTTTATTAAATGAGTCGAACACCATTTTTCGACTGTGGTTACAACAATTAGAATTTGAAGGTCCATTTAATTGACTTTTATGGTCGCTTTCAACGACAACATTTCATTTGTAATTATAATAATTCATCGGAATAGAAAAATATTATAAACTCTTAGACCCGACCGATTAATGATAATAAAATCAATTATAAATGAATTTTGTTGTCGTCTTTTGCCCCATCTTCATTATCAAATCTTCCAAGTCCTATTGCTACTGTTATAAGCTTAGTTTTTTTTTTTAAAAAGCCCAAGGGCTAATATATTAAAAAGGAAATGTACAAATATGTTGTATGAGATGACCTAAAAGAAGGCCTAACTCACACAATACAACACACACAAAAATCCAAACAGGCAAAGATACATAAAGATAAAAAAACCAAAAATCCTTCAATAGGTGCAAATGTGCTAAGAAAGTCCCACTTTAGTTCTTTCTCTGCCTCTAGTTCGCGGAAGGGAGTCAGCTAATAAATTGGTAAGGTGCGTATCATTACCCGAAGTAACCAAAATATCATCCATCAGATTTTTGAGCTCAAGTATGTCTCCATTCTTCTTTTTCCTCTTGGATGTGTAGACCTGTCATTCCTCATCCGAGTATTGACTCAATTGATCAATGGATTGGTCCAAAGGTGGCTGGACATGTGTAGGACGTTGCACATCTTGATCTCCCTGAGTCTGAGTAGCATTGACATCTTTTTGGACCTGATGAGGTGGTAGTGAAGCAGCAGATGTATTTTCACTTGTAATATTAGTGATAGGTTCTAGAGCAGACGGAGTCTGAAATCACTTGTAATATCAGTGATAGGTTCTAGAGCAGACGGAGTCTGAAAAGTCTCCCTCGACTCCATGATAGGAGGTTCCGAAGACCGAGGAGCTACAACAATGTGTGGAGACTGAATGATTGATATATTGCTTGCGAGAATAGTAACGTCTTCATATGTATCCTTTTGATGATCGATAGTGTCAATAACTTGGAGCTGATTAAGAGAAATTTAAATCATTGCCTCTATCAGAGCACTTTATTTTTTTGGTATGAGGTGGGGATGTAGACGATGACATTGAGAATTGGAGTGACCAAACATACGACAGTTCGAACAATACGAAGGAAAATGCTCAATATCTACCTTCTGCCAATATCTATGATGCTGTGTGCCCAATCATATTTTTTTCCGAAGCGTAAGCAGTAATGTTTTTTTCAACAAGTACTCTGGCTTCAGATGGACGGGAAAAATTAAAAGTAGAAATGTTCGTTTTGAGCGGCTTATCACAAGCTAAAGTAAGCGTCTTATCACAAGCTAAAGAAATAGAATACAACACTTTTTGAGAAAAATAATAAAATTTCAGATCAGGAAGGCGAATCCAAACCAGAATGATTGGCGATTTCGTCTGTGGGTCAAAAATACATAGATCATTTCAGAATCTTTATTGCAGAATCTTTTTCAGAATCTTTATTGCTCTGTTATCAATCCAGATTATCTTTCTAGCAAATAAACGTGTATAATCTTCTTCATTATTAATTTGAATAAGAATATGTTTACCATCTAATAGTCCAATTTATCACTCCTCAACAAGGTGCATAAGTTCAAATTCCTTGCGAATAAGCTCCATTTTGGGATGACCATATAGAAATTTCCCAACCAAGTTGAATACCTTCAGTGAAGCAAGTTGAATACCTTCAGTTTCTGTAAAAAAGATGGCAGACTTCCCATTTTTCCTACCAGATTTCTTGATGTCCTCCTCCCACTCAAACGATAGAGGAAAATAACACGATTTAGGTGTACCTGAGGCATTGACACTCGTGAGGGTAGCTGCATACGATCTGTTTGAAGTCATCCTCAAAATAAAGGTGTGACTTTAAAAAGAAAACACAGAAAAGTGGCGTCGACAGAAGAAGCTGAAAAGGAGAACACGAGCCGCAGAGCTGAGACGGGAAGCGTAGACCGAAGAAGCTGAAAAGGAGAAACACCGGGAGCCGCACTGCAGAGAGCCGCAGAGAGCCGAGATGGGAAGGAGGCTTAGTTAAATTGAATTAAGTAGTAGTTTTTTTAATTTCAGGGTTTATTTTTGGCTATATTAAATAACAGAAAATAATATATATAAAGATAAGAATTGAGTTTTTCACATGTATGTAAGACTTTTCTGTTTGTTCCCCCATGGTTTTTGGTTGGAGTAGATTGGTTGGCCGAATGGCTGGCCGGAGCCGTGGGTTGGCTGAAGAAAGAAAGAAGATGGTGACGGAAAGAGCCACGCGATCGAGGTGGTAGCCTGGGAGATAGATGCAAAGCGACAAATTGTGAGGATTCTAGATGGATCAGTTTCCTATTTGAGGAGGGAGAACACCACTAAAGGCACGTTGCTTGAGATCACTGATGGTGAGGGAGTTGACGGGGGCGGTAAACAAGTGGAATTGGGCTAATCAGTACAGTCATGCATCCGAGAGAGAGGAGGGCATGCTTTGCGAGAAGTAGTCCGATTGCTGAGGTGGTAATGAGCGACAGAGGGCAAGATTCGCCGGATATGTGGCGATCGGTTGGGAGATGGTTAGTCGGAGGTGACCGGAGCAGCTGTCGATCGGTGTTGATGGCTGATGGGTAGCTTGTTTTTAATAGGTTTTGTTGGGTGCCGGTTTGGACAAAATAAAGTGGCACTTTTGAGAGCTACAAAATTGAGACTTTCACAGTTTCAGATGGAGGTGGAGAGATCAGGTGGATTCAGATAATCGGTCGTCATGGCATCCGATCAGAGGAATGTCGGTCGGAGGGTGATTTGTCGGGGAAATCAAGTTTAACATTTTAAAAATATACAAGAACTGAGTGGCAAGCATGAGAATATAAAAATATATAGGAATTGAGTGTCTTGTATGTAAATCCTTCCTCTTTTGAGTCCCCCAAGCATCGAGCGACTATCGGAATGCATGAACTTGAGGTTGTCGAGTCTCGACCTTATACAATTAGAAATCACCTATCGAAGGCAAAAGATTGACTGAAATTTGGTGGTCGGTCGGAGACAACCAGAATAGCGGTCGACTTAGGAGTGTTGCCGACCGGTGGGTGATTTGCTAGAGGCATTTATAAAAATTGAATAGTATGTAAGAAAATATATAAATATGCAAGGATTGAGTGGTATATATGCAAGTCTTCCCTGTTCCAGGGGCGGTTAGCCAATGGGTGGCAGACTAGAGCAGAGTTGCCTGTTCGACAATGTGGCCAGAGAAGTGTCGCGATCGATCGACAAATACATAGCAAAACGTTGATCGACAAATTAGCCTGGATTTAACCTGAGTGTTACCGGGCACTCATGCTTGGACAACCTAAAGCCCCAGATTTGTAAATCTTGTACTAGTGCTCCATGTCAGCAAAGATGATGTTTGAATTTATCGTCCTCCATTGTTTCAAATAAGAGTGGAACGACTGGAAGCACGTTGCTGGGAAGATAAGTTGAGCAAATTATATGTATGTAAATCTCCCCTGCTTAGTTGGTCGACGAAATAAAGTTCGGACGGAGGGATGAAGTACGGTCGACGAAATTTGGTTGGAGGGTGTGAGAACCCGCCTTGGAATAGAAGAGAGATGTGGAAATGAAGCTTGTGCTAGAGAAGAATAGTGGAGTGGAGTGAGTGAATAAATGAGAGAGAGAGAGAGCTTGGGGAGAGGAAGTGAAGGTCTCGGTTGGAGGTGAAATTGGAAAGAAAGCTCGTAGCTTGAGAGGCGATGGGGAGTGAAAGTACGGGCTGCCTGGGAAGAAGAGGCATGGGGAGTTTGAAGAGGCTTGGTAAGTTTGTGGGGAGAAGAGTTTCATGGCTGCTATGAGCTGACCTGAGATGGATGCTTGAGAGGCGATGGGGATTGAAAGTATGGGTTGCCTCTGTTTCCACTAGATCTAAGGGGAACTATGGAGAAAGAGATGAAGTTTCTAAGTGATCGTCAGTAATGAGGAGTAAAGGAAGTGGATCCACTTTTGTGCAAGTTCCTCTTGTGTGTTCTTTGTTAGGTGTGTGTTTCTGAAGAGTTTTCTTTTTGTGTTAGCTCGTCTTCTTAGTCACAACACGATCTACGCTCACTGTATTTTTAGGGATGTTCTGTCCAAATATGTCCAGTAGATCGTGCCCAATGAATAAAGCGTTGAACCGATGAGAGGTGATCGAGAGAGGGTGATAAATGTGAGAGAGAGAGAGAGAAGATGACTTCGCCCTGCTGGGGGGAAAATGGGGTGTTCCAGAGCTTGTGGAACTATTTAATTCCATAAAATTAGAGGTTATAAATAAGGGGTATCCCAAAAAAATGCCATTTTTACATTATGAATTCCTTTTATTTATAGGACATATGAGGGGTAAAAGATACAAAAATTGCATTTTTGGCTGTGCTTTGAAGAGAGAAGCAAAAAGCATTTTAGTCCTTTTTATTTCGATTGCTGGATCGTCTCAAGATCGATGCAGACTTTCATGTTCATATTTCTTTGCCTTGGTTCTGTTGACATTCAATACATAAGACATTAAGTGACTTATATGTGAATTTCTTGAAGATGTTGGTTGCTTTAGCGTGACCATCCGACTGGTTGAAGGAGAGTTGGTCAGCCGATTGAAGTGAGGTGGCCGAGGGAGAGAGTTTGACCGGTCGACTGAAGTGAGGTGGCTGCGGGAGAGCTTGGCTTGTTGGCTAAAGGGTGTTGGCCGACAACTTGATTGCCTTGAAATCCGTGCAGAGCATTTTTGAATATACAGTTACAATGTTGGTGCCCTTTATATTGTTTATTACTTGATATAAAATTTACTAATCTTTTCTTTTTTTTGTTAATTATATTTTGCATTAGCTGCTGGACTCAAAATGTGTCATGGAGCTGAAGTTGTTTCCTCTAGTAGAAGAGCAGTGAGGAAATTTATTTTATTCATTATATTTTTAGTTGAGCTGTCAAAGGTTTCCCTTGATTCTTGTTTCTCTTTGTTTGCAGCTTAGGGGAGCAAAGATACCTGAGAGTGATTTTACTACCCTCCCAAATGGTCTGAAGTTAGTAATCCATTTAAATCAAATTATTGAACGTATTCATCTCAATCGATCTCTATTCCTTAATTTTCTTCTCCTCCTAAATTTAGCATTCAATTTGTATTTTACTAGTACTTATGATTACAGGGATGTTGAAAGTTCAATTTTAGTTTTCAAATTGCTATAATTGAACAGTTTCTATACAAGAATTTGCTCACTTTAGGCACTTTGTTTTTCTTCCCAAAATTTGCATTAAATCTATATTGTACTGTTGATGATGATTATATTAATGTTGATCATTCGGTTGTATTTTTTTAGTTGCTATACTTCAATTGTTCAATATAAGCGTCTCTTTATTTTAGGCTCTACTTTTTTTCCAGTTAATATACTTCAGATATTTTTACTCATATGAGATTTTTCTTTATCATCTATTCACCATTTGTTTCAGCGGTGGTGTTTCGGTTGGCTTTCTCTTTCTCTCACAGTAGATTTTCTTAATAAGAAAAGTATTTCTTGTTTAGAAATTACTTACTTCATGACTTTCTCAAGGGGTTTGTATCTTTTTTTAAATAATATAGTCATAAAGTCATGAGATGCGGGCAACTAAAATCATTTTAAACTTTATGTTTCTATGACAATGCCACTCCTAAGGAATGTCCAGACGGATTGATTTTTTTAATGTTTATTTTTTTAATTGACTGTTTAATGTGAAAAGAAATGTGGTAGTTAGTTTCCCAATCATTATAACTCTTGCTCCCTATTTGTAATATTCTATAATCCACAACAAATAATGTTTCCATTAAAGAAAAGATATGCAGGAGATGAATTTTAATGTCAACTACCATGTGAATTGATGTTATGATAGGAAAGCTGAGATGAAATAGTTTACATGTTAATATCTAAATTTGTTATACTCTTCATCATAGAAGTATGCTATAAATACATTGAAATAGTTAATTATGACGTGAGATAGCAGTATGCAATGTAAAACTTCTAGAAGTCTTTATTAAATAACTATACCTTAATAATTATTGAATTTGATTTGTTAAATGATCTTGATTTTCTTATGCAGCTTGTAAGGACTTTATCAAAGAAAGTTTAGATGTGACAAACTACATAAAGTTATCATGGATATCATGGATAATGGGGATTTATATTAACATGTAAATTAGCTTGTTGGAATAAAGCTAAAGATGATGATGAAATAGGATTATTGATTGCCTTTTTCATAGAGGTGATGTAGAATTAGTATTTGTGATTGAGATTCCTTAGATTTTAAGGCTTTTTGGTAGTACTTGGTTTTTTGGTTTAGAGACGATGAAACAACAAAATTCAGAGGGATTTGAAAGCTGGAAAATGTTATTGGTTAGTGTAGCTTAGAGTTTCTTCAATATAGTGGAAATAGGCAGGAGAGAGGAGTAGTGAGAGAGAGAGAGCTTTTCTAGATATAGAGATTAAAATTTATTTTTTCTTATTTATAGAGATTTTTTTCTTCAACTCTGTGAAGATTTGGAGAAATATTTTGACATAAATAAATAAATAAATAAAAATAGAATAGCCTAATAGGCATCATGATATGTTCCTTTTGGAATCATCCCTCATGGTTATTCTAATAATCTTTGATTTCTGATTTACCATCTTTCAAACACTCTTATGGACTCGATAATGTGGTCAATCCCACTTTTGTGGCCTTGGCGTAGCTAAGGTTCTATTATTTAATTAAATGGTCAAATAATTTTATTTATTCATTTTTGTATTGACTAATAAATCATATTGTTTACTTGACGATTAAACTTATTTTTTTTTTTTTGTATTTGTATAGATTAATACAACATTAACTTAAAATTAATAATAATTGTGATCTGTTAGTTATTTTTAGTTTTAGCTTATTATTTATTAATATAATTCTGATTATTAAGTGTTAACTTCACTTAAAAACAATAATAATTGTAATAATCAGGTTAATAATTTTGGTCTATCAGGTAGGCTTAGCCTTTTTTTTTTTTGGCAATTGAGACAAGTATTATTCTAGTTCACTCTTAGAGATTGTAACATAATTGCACATTGCAGGATAGCTTTATTTTTAAAGATGTACATGAGTCCAATGCCCCTTTTTCTTGTATTAGAGAGTATTCATCTCATTTTATACATGCATGATACACAGTTTTGTACTTTTTTAATCTTTTGATTTGCAATGCAATATGCACTTTTTCGAGGGAGCCTTAGCCGTGATGTGAAGATCTTGTTAGCAACTATGAGCTACATCATCTAAGTAATATCCAAATTAATTGAAGTTTGAGTGTAAGTATGGCTTTGTAGAGCATGCTTTAGTTATCCCTGAAAATTTTTAGTTTAGGGTTTTATCTATAGGTTAACAACTAGGGTTTTGATTCTACTAGTCTATGTTTGTGGCCTTAGCTTAGGAATTTTAATGTGATTGTTAGGACCGAGCCATTGAACTCGCTGCTTCTTATGATTTCCAAGTCAAAGAGCCTTAGTTATGAAATGAAGAAATTCCTTTTAGTCAAAGAATTAAGCATGAATCGCTTCATTAAAAGAGCTTCCCAGAGATCGAACATTGAAGGTTAATATTTGCTATCACTCTTGATGATGGATGTGCTTCTTATGGTTGAGATCAATTTTCTTTAGGAGGCATGAGTGCCTTGGCGCATATTTCAATGTATATAATCTTATATTTTCCATTAATATTGTAATCAATCTTAGTTTCTTTCAGTCTGTATGGGATTGAATATAAGTTTATTTCATTTTCTTTGGGCGGAAGCCTTACTCGAAGACATCACTCTTGCTAATATATCGAACCATAGAATGAAAGCTGAAATTGATTATGTATCTATTGTTTCATGAAAACCAAAGATGACTTTTTATCACCCTGAGTGGGAGAAAAATGCTAATAAAATAATGTTTCCACTTGAGATGTAATGGTGTTTGTGGAAGCCAAAGTTGATTTTTTATCAACCTGTGTGGTGGTAGAAATAAAAAAAAATAAAATAATTGTTTAACTTGAGATGCAATGGTGTTTGAGCATTAATTTTAGTGTATATAACATCATGTTGTCGTTGAGATAATAACTGCTATAGGTTTCACATCACTCATTAAAGAGGGAATCAGTGCAGATATAATCCCCCCTTATTGTGAAAACCAAAGTTTATTTTTTATCACCTTTCTAGAGTGTTAACTATAGCTACTGACATATCATTTTTTTGATGGAAGTTAAAACGAATGAAATATCACCCTTAAAGGTAGAAGCTAAAGTTGATTAGACATCGCCCCTTACTGTGGAAGCTGAACTAATGAAATATCAACTCTCGTCAAGTAAAATATTGGAATGAAAATAATTACTAATGGCTCAACATTTTCTTGGGATGGAGCAAAAGAAATCTTACTATTGGTGTTGATGCTTGAATCTCTTTTAAGTTGAATATGTTGATCTTCCGGTGCCTTGGCTTATTTATTGATGCAAGCGGCCTTTCTAATGTCTTAACACAATTTTGAAGAACTATGAACTTTCAAGTGGGTATGCTAGACTATTGAAGGAGTCGAAAAATCATAGATGCATTGACAGTTTTTGGAGGCATCTCAAATAATCAACCTAGTAATTTTATTGGCCAACTAGGCTTGTTTTTATGCGGTTGGGGATGTCGTCACAGCTGGCATTGTCAATATTGGTTGAGGGGTCCTTGACATGCTCAAAGATGCCAATGGGATAATTTATCATAAAAATCCAAAAATGGCACCAAATTGCAAACTATTTTGCATACTTCTCCCTATAAAATCATGGTTTGATGCGATGGATGTATAAAAAAAAAAGATTGTGGGATGCGGGATTTGTTGTTCATCTCATGTTCATTGCAATCTTATGAAATAATTGCCGGAGCAGTTACATCTTCTTGCTAGAGGAAGGAGAGAAAGTCTTGAATTGGCATAGAAGCTTGAGTTTCGATGAGATATAATGGCTTATGGCAGAGAGAGGTGGCTTTAACGTGGTGTGGCTTCCTTGTATCCCTAAGGACTATGATGTAGTACCTAGTCAAAATAATAAGGCAGTGATAGAGAGTTATGATCAACCCAAGGAGAGAGAGCCAAAGATAGAGATTTGTAAGTCTTTCAAGGAGTTAGAGAAGAGGAACCATTAGAGGTTCTTGGGCATACGGATTGCGTTAGAGGTGTGGAAGAGTTCTCTAGTAGCCTATTGACTTTTATTTTTTATTTTTCCAGTCCTTCCTTTGAATTCTTTGTTGGGTGGCTTGTTTATAAGATGGGAAGAGTTTGGGATGCCTAGGTTTTCTTGATTTTGTAGTTGGTAGTGGGCACAAGACATGCATAAGGTGGTTGCCAAGTGTTAAAGGTATTTAAAGAGTGCAATCTCATGGATGAGGATGTTGGCTAATATGGCATTGATGAAGGCTGCTTGTGGGGGAGCTGTGGAAAGCAGGGATCGGCTGTGATCTTGTTGCATGAGGGAGGAGACGCATGGCGATAATTATATATATATAAGGAACTTATTTATATAGAAAGAATGAGAAGTCAGCCATCTTTTTACAGAAGCTGAAGGTATTCAACTTGCTTCCTTCTGTCGTCTGAATTTACTTGAAAAATTTCTATATGTTCATCCCAAAATGGAGCTTATTCGCAAAAAAAATTGAACTTATGCACCTTGTTGTTAAATGAAAAATTGGACTATTAGATGAGAGCCACATTCTTATTCAAATTAGTAATGAAGAAGATTACATAAGCTTATTTGCTAGAAGAATAATAGATTCTGAAATGGTATGTGGATTTTGACCCACAGACAGAACCGCCAATCATTTCGATTTGGATTTCTCCCGCTGGTCTTAAATTTCATTATTTTTCTCAAAAAGTGTTGTATTTTATTGTCTTAGCTTATGTATTGCCTCAGCTTATGGGAAGCCACTCAAAACGGACATTCCTATTTTTAATCTGTCCCGTTTTTCTGAAGCCAGAGTACTTGTTGAAAGAGACACCACTTCACACGTTTCTGAGGAAATCTGGTTGGACACACAACACCATGAATATTGGCAGAAGGTAGATATTGAATCTTTTCCGTCGTATTGTTCGAACTGTCGTATGTTCGGACACTCCAGTTCTCAATGTCATCATCTACACCCTCAACTTAGACCAAAAAAGTAAACTTCTCCGTTAGAGGCTGTGATTCCATCCCTTCCTGATCAACTCCCAGTTTTTGACACTATTGATCATCAGAATGATACTCGGGACGACGTCACTATCCTCGCAGGCAATATGACAACTATTCAGTTCCCAGTTGTATCTCTCTCGTCTTTAGAACCTCCTATCATAGGGGAGAGGGAGTTTCTTCAGACCCCGCCTGACCTAGAACCTATCACTGATAATACAAGTGGAAATACTTCTACTGCTTCACTACCGTCTCATCAGGCCAGAAAGATGTTAATATTACTCAGGCTCATGGGGATCAAGACGTGCAACGACCTACACATGTCCGACCACCTTTTGAATCTACTGATCAGATGAGTCAATCATCGGATGATGAATGACATGTCTACATATCCAGGAGGAAGAAGAAGAATGAAGATCTACTTAAGCTCAGAAATCTGATGGATAATACTTTGGTTACTATGGGCAATGGTACTCACTTTATCTATTTGTTAGCCGGCTCACTTCCGAGAACTAGAGGCAGGAGGACTAAAGTGGGACCCTAGTATTTTTGTGCCCTTTTGTGGCTTTTTGGTTTTTTACCTTTATGTATTTTTGCTTAATCTGGGTTTTGTGTGTGTGTATTGTATGAGTTGGGCTTTCTTTTAGGCCCTCTTATACAACATTTCTATATCTTTTCATTAATATATTTGCCCTCGGGCTTTTTCTAAAGTTTTAAGGCCTTTACATGCACACCACACAAGTTTTATTTATTTACTTATCTAACACCTAAACATTCATATTTACTTGCATACCACTTAAATCTTCAACATTACATCAAAAACACCATCATCACTATCTATTTATAATTGAAATACACCTCTTCATGCAGAAATTTATGACACCAAGCTGTTATAAATGTAAATATTAAAAGTTGGATGTTAGATTGTAAAAATATACAAGAAGTGTGGTATGTATGTAATCTCCCCTCAGAAAACATGTATTAGCCTTTGTTATATCATTTGTATTTATCTTGTTGAAAAATAGTGCTTCAATCCTCACTTTGGTAAATAGTTTCTTAATTTATGTTATCCCGCTGAAAAGGGCATTTCAGTCACAAAATTAACTCTGACTTCAAGTTGATGATTTTATGTATATTTGTCAAGTTATGGTTGTGGTTATCCAGTTTTGGCATTTCATAAATTGCTTAAAGTTCAACCTTTATTGGATTGGTTTTCAAATTCAAGGCACTATTCCTTTATAGTATCATGGTCGTCTTCTTGCACCTCTATTTTTTGACCGGTTGGTTAGAAGAATTGTGTTATGAGCACATGAATGAATGTCGTTGATGGTATTTATACTTGTCTTTGCACTCACCTAAAATTATTCATATATATATATATACATATTATTCTTGTAGATACTATGATCTGAAGGTTGGAGGCGGGGCTAAAGCTGCCAAAGGATCACGTGTTGCTGTATGGTTATCATCTCAATTTATTCTTTTCTGCTTCTCATCTTAACATCTGATATTCAAGTTTGTTTCATCTTGCTTCACTTGGGATATATTTGACTCAGTATTACTTTTGTTTTAACTTATAAGTTGAAAATATATATATATGATTTTACTCATTTCTTGTTTCCGCACTAGAAAAAAGAAGACAATTTTAGATTGCAGAAACTGAAAACAAAGTCATGTTTTCAATTTTTAAAAAAATATTTCAGTCTATTGTAGAACTAGGGCTGTAAAAGAGCCGAGCATGAGCGAGCTCAGATTGGGCTCGTGTTCGGCTCGTTCGAAACTGGCTCGTGTTCGAAATTGGCTCGTGTTCGAAATAGCTCATGAACAGTGTGTTCGTGTTCGGCTTGAATTATATTTTTTTGTTCGTGTTCGGCTCGAAATTGGCTCGTTATAATATAAAATTATTATAATTAAAAAAAAATTAAAAATAATAATTTTAGTTTAAAATTTTCAAGAACAAATTTCCTTTTTTAGAAAGAATAGGGTTTAGATTTATTAACTAAAAAATGATAACATAAAAAAATTTTACAAGAGCAAAAACTTACAAAATAAAGACCGATTTATTACAATTTTTAAAATGTACAAACTAAACAAGAGTGCAAAAAATAATAAAATCTCAAAATATAAATCAAAATCTAAGAAATAATTGTATTAAACATTTTATTTTTCTCATGCTTTACATATAACTCAAACTACTAAAACTAATTTCTGTAAACGTGGATGACACTGTGCTGGAAAACAACTCAAGTTCTCAAGTCTATAGCCAATATTGATTCTTGCACCCTGTGGATATTACAATAACATAAGCTCAGGTCATATCGTTCGATGAGCATGGTGGAGTGCCCCAGTTGCATGATCATATCTTTCAGCCAAGACACGGAATGCTCGGTAGAAATCTTTCACAAACTTCATAAGCTCAGGTCGTTTCTTGTAGTACATCTCGGCCCTCCTTGATAAGGAGTCAGCATCTTCCTCTATGAGTTTGATGATAGCTTTTACTTTCAAGTCCATATCTGTTCAAGAAAAGACAAATTAAGATTCATAAAGAGTTAGATGCTTAAATCTTTGGTGCAAGGAAAAGCATTCCTCAACAAACATTACTAAAATCTATTGAAAAGTCCATAATTAAACCCCAAATAATGTTAAGTATAGCACTAAACAACAATGAATGGTGGGAGGAGTTGAAGAGAAACGTGATGACGAGAATGAACAAATAATCTATGATAAAAGTGTCAAAATAGTCAATTAATGCTCTTGTATAGGAACAACTTTATTAAAGCAAAGAAGTAATGAACAAATTTAAAGAGTTTGGGTACTAATTTGACACTTCTAAATACTCTAGGATTAACATGACCACATATAAAATTAAGTATTTACTTTGGCATTTTACTCTATAATCTATAGTGCAAACCCTCTACATGATATAATGAGTCATGGATGATTGGCATGCATGCCTGTAAGGTTCTCCTGAAGCCATTTTGAATTCTTTGGACTAATATGGCTGTCCCACCACCATGAATACAATCTCCTGGACTCAGCATGCATAAATATCGACATGATTCCAAGTAGATAAATCAACAGTGTTTACAGAGACAATCAAACCATTCAATTTGACTTTTTTCCTAACCTGCAATATTGCATCAGTGTAACAATCAAACTTATTCATATAAGAGTTTTTGTTTGCTTTAAATAAGAATTTCAATGAAGTAGAATCAGCAAAATTCAGCCTCAAATTGGTGCATGAATTATTCCTTATCAATAAAATTCAAAAATCAAGTCGGTGATATTGCTTGCTATTAAAAAAATATGATAGATATTAATACAAAATAGCAACAAAACCCTCTCAACAGATAATCCCAGATGAAGGGCAGGTCACCTTAAAACATGAAATCCATCAAGATTGCATAGAAAACAAGAACTTCATAGAAAATAGGAATTCCCTCAACTCAACAGTCAAAGCAAAGAAAAGATCATGAGGAACTTCTTCTGACTCTGTACCTTGCGAAGTAAGATTGACATTTTCGTTGCTATTATGAGCTTCTTATATAGCTATCAAATTATTGCTGGATGATTCAGATTGTGAAAGATCAAGTTCAGACATATTTGCACTGTAAATGAAATAAAAAACTCATAATTAGTATCACTTTAGACATACTACCAAGTCAAAAATGCATAAACAATTATTTATATTCAATCAAAGTATTCTTCAATCTTTGTAAAGATTTCAAATGCCATTTTATGAATGCAGGATAAAACAATTTCTGACAAACCTTCTAAGAAACAAAAGGTAACTTCTTAAGGATAAACTGATAGATGAGAACCACTCCAACTTTGCTAAAAATCTGGAAAATCAAAATGAAAGTGGTAAGCAGTATTCATTTATAATTCATGGTGATTTGCTATAACATATACTTCAGTTCTATTGAACTATCGTCATATTGCGCCAATTTATATATTATAGTTTCAGTTAACTGAGATATTTGGATCTGTTTCACATTCAAATTGGAAAACTGGCTCTGATTATGCATTTTCAGCTATGAAGGATTTATATATTATTTTCTTGAATTTTCACTCTTGTTTTATCAAAGTAAACACAAGCTTTATGTTCTAATATTAAAATAAGGCACATGCTTTGATTTAATCATACAGCTGATTTCCACACTTATTCATTTCTTTGAAACTATCATCATATTATGTCAATTATATATTCTAGTTTTAGTTAAGTTTCAGTTAATTAATTATATTTGGATCTGTTTCAGATTTGAATTTATAGTTTCAGTTAACGGAAAATCACACATTTTGTAATTGTCATCTGAGGGATATAAGTTGGTAGCTATTAAGTTGGTTGTTTCCAATAATGAGTTTGCTGGGCAACACTACCATGATCTCAAGAAACGGCCTTTTTTTAGTGGCTTATGCGTCTTTTTGGGCTCCGCCCCTGTACATTTATGGCGGTTTCTTGTGTCACAAATATGTCATATGTTATAGCTGAGGTTTGTTTATTTAGTAGGTTTGGGAAGGAGATGGAGTTGTAAGGTATGGCAGGAAACTTATTAGTGCAGCGGACCCTCAAAAATTTGAGTCAGGGATTAGGAAAAATTTAATAGACGAACTAATGTTCAGACAAAGGCTCCAGTCTAGTTGAAAGTTATTAATTATGTACTCAAAGTATGAACAAAGTTATGCATCTAACTAACACCAATGATCAAACACATTACAAAATATTCATTTTATTTCCTACCGTGAGCCATTTAAATGGAATTCATTTATATAACACATTACAGAATATACACTGTGACGGCTTTGATGTAAATCTTCCAAATAAAAGAAATTTAAGAAACATTAGGACAAGAGGCATACTTGAAGATAAATATGAAATATTACAAAAAAGATACTCAAATATAACACCTAGGTATCCAAACAAGCAGTCGTCCAAGAATATCGAGCAACCAAGCAAGAATATCAATCAAACGAACCAACACTGCCGAGAAAGAGAAGTAGATATCAGATTTTTTTAAGTTTTCAACAACCCTTATATCAGATCTCATCCCAAAAAAACCAGATCTAAATTCAATATGCGAGATTTCACTGCCAAAACCCTAAAAGACTAGGTTTCACTCAAAAAATCTAAGTAAATCTAAAAGAAATTTAAGAAAATTTAAGCTAAGAGGTACCTCTGTAAGTAAACAAGCAACTAAGCAAGAATATTGAGCAACCAAGCAAGAAAACTGAGCAGTCGAGCCAAGGCTGACTATCCGAGGAGAAATAGATGTAAATATTAGCAGAATAAGAAGAAACCAGAGAGCCTTCCGCGATTTTGAGAGGATCGGAGGAGGAGAACTTCGCGATTTTGAGGGGAGGAGCGATTTTGAGACGAGGAGCTCGGGAGCGAAAGACAGCCGCACCCCAAAACTTTCGAGACGGGAATGGGAGCGAACTCAGCGAAGTTAGGGTTTAAGTTTTTAACTAATACCCTATTCCTATACGGCAAACCCTAAATGCATATATAAAATTTAATTATTTATATAAGTTATAGTAAATTATTAATATGAGATTCTTAAGATAAAATTTTTAAAATATGATAATTTATTTTTTAAAAAAATTTAATTAATTATAATTTATAATATTTAATTTTATGAATATGTATTATGTATATTTATATATATTTATTTTCAAGTCAATTCAAGCCGAACACGAGCGAACAAACTTTTGTTCGTGTTCGGCTCGTTTACATTTCGAGCTTAAAAATTTGTTCGTGTTTGACTCGTTAGGCTTAACGAACGAGCCGAACACGAGCTGCTTAACGAGCCGAAAACGAGCAGTTCGCGAACAACGAGCCAAATTGACAGCCCTATGCAGAACATGTCTTCGCAAGTATAGGAGAAAATCAGACCGTTTCTAGAAGTAATGTTCAAGATTCAATAAGTAATCACAAAAGCATAGCATGCCTATCCATATCATCAGATCCATAATTTGGAGCAAAAATAAAACATGGATTTCTTGCATATTTTCTTAGCCATTATCAAGTAGCAAAAACACATAACAAGAACATGCTTAACTTGCTAAGGTAGATTCCAACTACCTCATGTTGTTGTTAAGCTTTCTTATTGCATTATGAGTTTTTTATTAAACGTTTGAATTTTTTATGAACATGCATATCTATGTGAAATTTCTTTTAAGTAATTGTTAAACTATCAGCTGCAATGATTTTGAGTTTATGATTTAAATCTAAATTAACATAATTATTCTTTTTAAAGTTTCTGGAGTGCAATCTGACCTTATGTATGTTTTTCTTGCATTTCATCAGGAATTAAGATCCTGATATATCTTGCATCTAAAGGGAAAATATAGTTAAAAATCTAAGAGAGAGCTACTCGAGAGGCAAATTTTACGGTCAGCAATAGCTTATTATTGGATTTCTTAGATCTTTTTCTTATATACCCTTTCTTCTATTTAGTTTGGAGAATTAGAAACTAGAAGTTATGGTTAGGCCTCCGTGACAAGAAGTTCAACTTACTTTTTTCAACAGTAAACCTTCAAGTTTATCGGAGAAATCAGGCCCTTCTATTACCCTTGGGCATGAGCCGCAACTTCTTGGAACACAATAAACCAATATTTTGGAGAATCCTTGGTGCATGTCCACATTTTCAAGGTGTTCATGACTTCAATTTCTTATAGTTCATGCAACCTTTGATTCATTCACGTGACACAATGGTTGACTTTTTACTTCTAACTTCTTCTGACAGAATTATTTCTTTTTTTTTTTTACAAAATTTTACATTATTTACAAATTACAATCATAGCCATTGTTCAGTCTCTTAGTTTTTGTTTTTGGCTTCTCAGTCTTCTTTTCAAAATCCGAATGCTACCTGATAATTTTTTGAGTATTCTGAAGAGCCAATCTGCTTATTGATTTTTTTGTAGGTGCACTATGTTGCCAAGTGGAGGGGTGTAACTTTCATGACTAGTCGGCAAGGACTTGGTGTTACTGGGGGCACGGTATGATTTTGCAATGTGATCAAGATCATGACGAACATTTTTCTCTTCACCTGGACATTAACATGTTAAAAAGTATGCATGCAGATTTCTGATTCAGCATTATCCAGTTATTTACCACAAATTTTGTGCAATCTATTTATAGTTTTCTTAGTTTGGGCTTTCTGTTTTTTATAAAAATGGTTAGGTTTTTTTTTTTTCAAATTAGCTATGGGCAACCTTCCAATGGTAAGTAGAAGGGTGTCTTGAGGAGCAGCCCACATATGTTAGCAGTCATCCCAATCACTGCAAAAAAACGTCGAGTGTTGTTTGAATCCAAAAATGAAGGTGTTATGATATTGCGCTACCATTGTCAGCCAAGGTCCTAAGGAAGAAGGAATTTGATTTAACTTTAATGTGGTGTGCATTTGGTTTTATAAAACTTCAAACTGTTGAGAGGCCTTCAAAGTCAACTTGAAGGACAATTAGCTGCTGTGGGTAGGAGAAGGTAACAATGAAGTAGTCAGCATGGCCCGAAATTTTCACACCATGGCCATCATTACTATAAGAATTAAAGGCAGACACATTAGTGTTAATTTTGAGGAAATTTCCTGTTTTAGTTAACCCCGAAAAATTCTTGTGGCTTCGAAAAGGTGGCCCATAGAGATTTCATGGATTAATATTTGTTTTTTTGAATGAAACCTACATTAACATATATTATCATCATGTTTTGCAGTAGTATGAGAAATAGAATTTCTTAGTATATAATAAAGCAAAAAAGTGGGGGGTATTGAGTATTTTAGTGTTTTGGGTTCCACTAAGTTGAGAGGACAATATAAATACTATAAAGAGGTCTATAGAGAAGAGCCAAGAGTGTGGTAAGGTTTTGCCACAGAACTTGAGTATCAGATAGTTAATAACTAGTTGCTTGGGGCTCTCGATAGTATATATTTTTATTTGAATGCTACTAAAATTCCATTGGATTGCTCCATGTCGTCAGTGGAGAGAATATAATTAAGGGGCTTTCACATTAATTGAATAGTTGGTATGTCAATGACACGATTCTAGGGCTCATAGAAGGTGCTTAGGAAGTGGATCTAGCGGGGAGGTGATTGAGAAATTGCAAGAGAACAAGGATATGTGAGGCCGACGATGTTTGGAATAGGATAGGGGTAAAATCTGCTGTTAGACGACAAATCGGAGGAGTTCACTGCTGTCCGTATTGAAAACAGTTGTCAAATGGTGCAACGGCAAGGTACGGGTGGTGACGAGGTTCCATCACCTGTTCTTGAGCAAGATTTAAATACATCACTGCAAAAGGAAGATGATGAAATACTCATAGAGCAGAAATCATAGATCATTTCTCCACAATGCATAAAACCAAGCTTAAGTTTGCAAACACCCATAATACAACCTATATAGATGTACCCTAATATAATAGAATATAATTAGAAATAGAGAAATTGGAATGAAATAGAAAAGATAAAGAAATTGCTTAAATTGAACTGAGACTGCATCTCGAGCAGCATATGATCCTACAATCGAGGGAGGTTCCGCAAGCCCTGGTCTCTCGGGCTTCCGCACCAGTGTCAGTCAAGCTTCCACAGTCAGAGAATATTAGTGAGGCCCAAGTACGAAGGATGAAGTAGGCCTAGAGCCGAAGTTGCCAATGAAAGTGAGGATCCATACCACTAAGTCGTTAGACTTAAAATCTTCAATGTGATGGGAGGGGTGATATGAACAAAAGCCTATTATTATAGAGTGGATAAGCTTAAGGTCCAGACACCAGCATTGGTTCAAAGACTCTAAATATGGAGTGACAGCAGGTCGTGAGGAGATTTTGTTTATTTAGAGGATCCCACTTGATCTATAGTTCCTGTAATAGATCATATTCTCCACAATACATAAAAGCAAGCTTAAGTTTGCAAACACCCATAATACAACCTATATAGATGTACCCTAATATAATAGAACATAATTAGAAATAGAGAAATTGGAATGAAATAGAAAAGATAAAGAAATTGCTTAAATTGAACTGAGGCTGCATCTCGGGCAGCATGTGATCCTACAATCGAGGGAGGTTCCGCAAGCCCTGGTCTCTCGGGCTTCCGCACCAGTGTCAGTCAAGCTTCCACAGTCAGAGAATATTAGTGAGGCCCAAGTACGAAGGATGAAGTAGGCCTAGAGCCGAAGTTGCCAATGAAAGTGAGGATCCATACCACTAAGTCGTTAGACTTAAAATCTTCAATGTGATGGGAGGGGTGATATGAACAAAGGCCTATCATTATAGAGTGGATAAGCTCAAGGTCCAGACACCAGCATTGGTTCAAAGACTCTAATTATGGAGTGACAGCAGGTCGTGAAGACATTTTGTTTATTTAGAGGGCCCCACTTGATCAATAGTTCCTGTAAATATAATCATTACTGTTTGAGATATGACACTTGATGTTTTCTTTGATGATGAATCTTTCCATACATATAGCATTCTAGATTGATTAGCCAGGTTGGTTGGCAAAGATTGATTGTGTTTTAAAAATATTTTGCTGAAATAAAATCGGCATAAAATGATGAAAAGGTACGTTCTAGGTTGTATAGAATTCATCGAGCATCTTAAGTCAAGTACAATAGCAAGATCTTTTCCCAAACTTTTTAGAGCTGTTCGGCCTTATGATCAGAGGAACTCTAAAATAAGTAAGCCAATGCAAATTTCAAACGTTTTGGGGGGGGGGGGGGGGGAACATGCTCAACCGATGTATAAAGATACTACTAAGAATATTCTTGATGAGGATGATTCCACCTGCTTGGTTTAAGTTTGGCTTGCCAACCATCAATGAGTTGTTGAATATTGGTTGCAATCACATTAAAGATATTTGAATTTGCTCTGTCATGGAATATAGTATATCCAAGTTATTTCATAGGTTGAGGTTGTGTAAAATTGGTGGCTCTAATGGCCATGAGGTGTTAGGATAAGCTTTTGATTTGGTTAAATGATTTGCTAGAGAGTAACTGAAAAATCTTATTATAATAGATTCATTAGTAAAATTGATAATTTTGTTTTCAAATGAATGGCGTAAGATCAAGGGTTTGTTCTAAGGAGGATGGTAAGATGTTAACTCACCAGAAGCATGAAGGATGTATATTAGATCATAATGGCTATCCCCATGCCATTATTACTTATTATTTGACTTTATACCCTAATTATGTATTTTTCCTTTTGCTTTATTATGTTTTTATTTCTTTCCTAGTTATTTTATTCTATTTTTATTATTTTCTCTTATTATGTCTATTGTAATTGGGTTTAAATACCCCACCTCCTATCAATAAAATCAAGCGGTTCTACTCCACATCTCAACATGATATCAGAGCTTAACCCTATATACAGTAGTCGCTGGCCTCCTTTGCCGCTTCCAGTAGCCGCCACCTAGTCTTCGAACTCTGCCCGATCCTACAGCCGGTGGTTCCTTCCTGTCGCATGTGTTTTCTACTGTATTCCAACTGCCACTGATCCTACAGGAAACTATGAGAGCCGCTTCTCTTCTGCTAATTTTCCACAGCCGTTGTTTTATTTTCCCTGTTGATATACAACAGGTCCCCAACAGCCGCTTCAACTTTGCTAATTTCCCACAACCACTTTTTTATTTTCCCTACCGATACCAGGTTTTCCAACAACCGTTGTCCCAACAATCGACTATTAGATTTTTTTTTTTCCCTTCAGATACCTTCTATAGGAAGTTCCAACAACCGCTGAAATTGTGAGGACCGCTGATCTTCCGTTTCTACTGGAAGGTGTATCTGAATTCCTAAACCTGAATCCATCTTATGGAATTCATGGATGACTCGGAACCACAACAATATATCCTTTGGCTCTATCGGAATTAGGATGGATTAATCCAACATTGAATCACCTTCAGAAGGTGTTCTTGATTCCATCGGAGGATCAACTCCAACTTCCGCTCACTTGCAGACCGGAGGACCGGAAATCAATAATTTCTTGATCACAACCCATAAGTTAAACGATAGTAACTTTCTCCAATGGTCCCAAACTCTGTCTTTGTTCATCAAAGGACATGGGAAGTTTGTTCACCTCACAGGTATGGTTCATGAGCCTCTAAGCATATGGAGCCTGGGAAGTAGAGGACTCCATGGTCATGTCGTGGCTAATCAACTCCATGGAAACTTCGATTGGTCATTCTTATATGTTCCTCCCATCAGATAGTGCCCTCTAGACGACTGTCCGTGATACTTTTTCGGATGTAGGAATTTCAGGCCAACTCTATGAGGCATCTACGAAGATTCAGGAAACAAAACAGAGGTCAAACATCGTGACCTAGTACTATAATGACCTTGTTGCACTATAGATGAAATGGGATTTGTACTATAATTACATTTGGGAGTCTCCGATCGACCTATCCCTCTTCGAGAAGATTGTAGAAAATGATCTTATGTTTCAATTCCTGGCTAGCTTTAACAAAGTACTTGATAAAGTGCGGAGTCGTATTCTTGGTTGGGATCATCTTCCATCTTCTCGCGTAGCTTTCACCAAAATTCGCCGGGAAGAAAACAAAATACTTGTCGTGCTCGACACCTCCACTTCTTCAGCTGAGTCGTTCGCCTTCATCTCAAATAGTGCTTAGCTCTCGTCCATGCCACCTCAGAACGGTCACTCCACTTGCGATTACTGTCACAAACCCAACTAAACTCGGGACAAGTGTTCGAAACTTCAAGGCGAGCTAGCATACAAATCTTTGGCCAAATCCTCTATTGCCAAGGGACTCACGTCGATAACCGAACAAGACACGACTCAACTGACTTCTACCCGGAACATCCCAGATTCTTCCAAATCCCTAGAGAACCAGATGGAGCAATTAATTAAGTTTCTTGGAGCCAATCAAGTCTCTACGGGTCCATCAACCTCCAATATCCGATAAGGTACTCTTCCTATGACTCTCACAGTTTATTTTTCCTCTAGTCCATGGATTATTGATTCAGGTGTCATGAATCACATGATTGGTTGCCCACAAGCT